AACATTGTTATAACGCTTTAACCCTTTGAGGGTTTTCGTCGTACTAGTACGTCTTACGCGTAGGGATTTTTGACGTACTAGTACTCATAAATTCTAGCGGCCTCAAATCTAGTGGGAGAAAGCTGGTAGGCCTTCATATGAAAGAATGGGTCTATGTGGTCAGTGTGCACAGTCTAAAAAAAATCCTGCAGCACACAGTGCATAATGAGAAAAAAAAAACTTTGACCATTTTTTTTGAATAAATCAGCGACTTTGCAGTGTATTTTCGTATGGTATTTATTGTTGTATTCTAGTTTTCTTGGTCTCATTTTATAGAATGGAAGACATATTACAGAAATTGAGATGATTTTGACTGGTTTTACAAAGAAAGGTGCCTTGAAATTGAGCTCAAAGTAGCAGAAATGTTCGATTTTTACCAAACTTCAAAAGTAAACAAATCGTGCCAAGCGTGCAATACACGTCAACTGGTGAGTCTAATATTCTTTCACAAGTGCACCAATAATATTTATACCATTTTTTACACTAATGCAGTAGTCTGCATAACAGTAAATCTTATATTTTTTGTGAAAATAAAAATTCAAAGTGGAAAGCAAAAGAATATAAGAGGGGCCTTGAGACATGACTAATGACTAGAGGAAATGTCATTTTAGTGCCAGGAATGTCTTTCTTGTTTATTCTGGACCCTATTCGGAAATTGGCATCTTTTGAAATTTGTGTGAAATTGGCAAAATTGCTAAATTCTGACCACTGTACTGGATAGTAGAATTTCATAAATGAGTGGTTTCTTGCACCCATTCGATAGAAAAAATGGAGTTCTATCGAAATATTCATGTTTTTTGTCGACTAGTACAGTGAAATTGGCCGAAAATGGGGCTCAAAGTGGGCAAAATCGCCGATGCGTAAACATCGCCGAGACCGCTAACTTTGCGAGAGCATAATTCCGTAAGTTTTCTATCAAATTTCAAACTTTTGGTGTCTTTATGATCGGGAAAAGATTCTCTATCTTTTCATAAGAGAAAATAATTTTTTTTTTTTTTTAAATTTGGCCGACCCTGAGAACGAGTTTCGGAGAGGGCCTGTCGACCCTCAAAGGGTTAATTACTTCACCTTACAACTCGTATAACTTGCCAATAGCCATAGCTATTGACAAGTTACTTGTATAGCTGTTAACCCTAGCTATAACTCAAGGTTAACTTAACTGTTAGCAGAACTCACGAAATCGTAATGACACGATTGCAAACAAACCATACCACAGGCGGTATTTGAACCCGCAGTCAGAGAGTCTCAAAACTCCAGACCTAACGCGACAGTCTGGAGTTTTGAGACTCTCTGACCGCGGGTTCAAATCCCGCTCGTGGTATGGTTTGTTAGCAGAATATGCTAAGAACTGCACATAATCAAGAGATCATCACTTGCAACTGCATTGTAAACAATATAAGTGACCACACACTTCATACAGTGCCACTTGTGACTGCGCAGTAAACTAATCTGGCAAAAAAGTAGTCTTGTAATTTTGTCTAGACTAAAAGAGGTGCCAAATGATCCTTTGCTGGTAAACCAGTTTTGTACCTGTATTAGGTACAGTTAACCCTCCATTTAATGGGCTTCAGAAATGAAGAACAAAACCTGATGGGTTTCTACATTTGGAAACAATGAACAAAGTCTATTGACCGCAGAATTGTCCATTATTGTCCTCCTCAACTGCCAATACTGGCCACCTGCTCTCCCCAATTAGTCCATTACATGGAGGGTTTACTGTGTTTTGTTAATAATCAAAGTTCATTTTGACAGAGTGCTACTGTAAACAACGTTGTGAATGAATTGCTGAGTGTCTGTAAATAATACTTTATTAAATTAACTGAAGTACAGGAGGGCCCCACATTTAGTGCTCCTTCTTTTCAGTGTTCCATGTTTTCATTGGCTGTCAATTGTACCATTGTTTATTATGTGCAGTGCTTTTACCGCTTCTCCACTGTTTTTGTACCATTGTTTATTATGTGCAGTGCTTTTACCACTTCTCCACTGTTTTTGTACCATTGTTTATTATGTGCAGTGCTTTTACCACTTCTCCACTGTTTTTGTACCATTGTTTATTATGTGCAGTGCTTTTACTGCTTCTCCACTGTTTTTGTACCATTGTTTATTATGTGCAGTGCTTTTACCACTTCTCCACTGTTTTTGTACCATTGTTTATTATGTGCAGTGCTTTTTACCACTTCTCCACTGTTTTTGTACCATTGTTTATTATGTGCAGTGCTTTTACCACTTCTCCACTGTTTTTGTACCATTGTTTATTATGTGCAGTGCTTTTACCGCTTCTCCACTGTTTTTGTACAACAGTTGCATAAGGGAAGGGCAAGCGGCACCATATTATAAGGTAAGTATTATATGTACTGTCTATTTATTTTACTTTTTATCTTTTTTTATGCCTAGCTGTATTGAGCACTTAATATGTAATACTGTAAACACGTTATCAGACATTTTAGATGCATTTGATAATGAAAAAAAAAAAACTTTTTTTTCCACTCACTGGCAATTTTTGCTTACAATACAGGGGTCAGAATCCTAAGAGCCATACAAATGGAGTTGTCTTCTATATGTACTGTGTCAGCTTGTTTTGTTAAATGTACAGTAGGGCCCCACTTTTCGGCGTTTCGCCTTATGGAATTCCGCTAATACAGCGACCTCAAATTATGACCAAAACTTTCTATACAGCAAGTGGTCTTTCAAATACGATGCGTGCCACCCGGTTTGTTTACATTCTCCATGAGCACATCTCTCTATTATGCTATAATAATCACTCTTGGGCACATTAAATGTCTAATTTTACGTCAATATAGACATTTTCATTAATCCATCTACGATAATTTCTTCAAAATTATGTAAGAAACACATTACATATCACATAAACATGCTGTTTATATGCTATGGAGGTGTGGTTGCCGGGTGGAGGGAAAACATTACGTAATACTAATAATAATCACTCTTGGGCACATTAAATGTCTTATTTTACGTTAATATAGACATTTTCATTAATCCATCTATGACATTTTCTACAAAATTATATAAGAAACACGTTACATAGTATATAAACATTTTATGTTTATATACTGTGGAGGTGTGGTAGCCGGGCGGAGGGAAAACATTACGTCACCCCCCTTAATACATAACACTTTTGTTTACAATTCTCGGCATGAATTATTCATTATTTCTCCCTTTGTTTATGATGGCATCTAAAGTTAGTTGTTAGAAACAATTAAACTCGGTGAACATGGTATGTCGACGGTAATAATATGGCTCTGGGGCACATTAAATATTGTGTAGGTATGTAGGTAGGTGTAGGTATGTAGCCCAGGCGAACTACATACTTACATTATTATTATAACTGATACTTATGTACGTATACCTGTACCTAAGTAAACTTACACATTGTGCTGACATGCAGGTACACACTGTGCTGGCATGCAGGTACACATTAAAATCACTAAGAGTGTCTTATTAGTCTTGAAGATGTCATATTAATAATAATAATAATAATAATAATAATAATAATAATAATAATAATAATAATAACACACAATAATAATCACTCTGAGGAGCATTAAATATCAAATAAAATGTTAACCCCTTGAGGGTCTGTGCCGTAGATCTACGGCTTTTCGTTGAGGGTCCAAACCGTAGATCTACGTCATGAGCTCAGCTCAGTTCTGATAAGCTGTGAGCGGTAAATTTGGGCCTAGATATGAGAGAATACATTTATGTGGTAAGTGTGCACCACATAAAACAAATTCTGCAGCACACAGTGCATAATGAGAGAAAAAACTTAGACCGTAATTTTTTATTAAAACAGCAACTTTGCAGTGTTTTTTCGTATGTTTTTTATAGTTAATATGTATTTGCTATTTCCTGGTCTTATTTGATAGAATGCAATATATATTACAGAAATAGAGATGGTTTTGATTGGTTTTATTACTGAAAATGGCTTGAAACTGAGCTCAAAGTAGCGGAAATGTTAAATTTTTGCCGATGTTCGAGAGTAAACAAATGACCTCACACGTCTAAGACACCCCAGCTGGTGGGTCTAATATACATTCACAAATGTGCTGATATTATTTATTTAATTATTACAATATTTCATGACAGTAAATCTTCCATGTTTTGGTTTGAATAAAAATTCATTATGTGAATTAAAAATGAAAATGGAATTTATTTATAAAGCCTGAAAATGTAACTAATGAACAGAGGAAATGTTAGTTTAGTGCCAGGAATGCCTGCCTTGTTTATTCTGGACCCTATTTTGAAATTGGAATATTTTGAACTTTGCACTAAATTGGCCAAATTCCCAATTTCCAATCACTTTATTTTGTAGCTGAAACAGTTGAGTTGGCGATTTCTTGTGCTCAGTCGATAGAATAGAAATAATTCTATTTGGTCGACTGGAATAAAGTAATTGGCCTAAAATGGGAGTCAAAGTCGGCAAAATTGCCGATGCGTAAATATCGCAGACACATAAAAATTCGCACGAGCATAATTTCATCAATTTTCCATCAAATTTAGTATTTTTTGTTTTATTACCTTCAGAAAAAGATTCTCTACCATTTCATAAGAAAAAATAAAATTATTTTTTGAAAATTCTTGGACACTGGTGCGCACTTTGAAATTTGGCCTTTGGACCCTGTAAGGGTTAATATAGGCATTTTGCTTAATCCATCTAAATACACCCCACAGTAGAATAAATTAACATAAATATGAGATGTGGCAGTCAGGTGACTTGTAGGACTTGTGGTAGCCAGGCAACTTGTAGGACTTGTGGTAGCCAGGCAACTTTTAGGACTTGTGGTAGCCAGGCAACTTGTAGGACTTGTGGTAGCCAGGCAACTTGTAGGACTTGTGGTAGCCAGGCAACTTGTAGGACTTGTGATAGCCAGGCAACTTGTAGGACTTGTGGTAGCCAGGTGACTTGTCCAACATCAGGGAAATTTATTTTTTTTTTTTTATTATCACACTGGCCGATTCCCACCAAGGCAGGGTGGCCCGAAAAAGAAAAACTTTCACCATCATTCACTCCATCACTGTCTTGCCAGAAGGGTGCTTTACGCTACAGTTTTTAAACTGCAACATTAACACCCCTCCTTCAGAGTGCAGGCACTGTACTACCGTCCTGCCAGATGACTGTGAAACAAAAACCTGTAACTGTTTTGCATGATGGTAGGATTGCTGGTTTTCTTTTTCTGTCTCATAAACACGCTAGATAACAGGGATATCTTGCTACTCCTACTTACACTTTGGTCACACTTCACAGACACGCACATGCATATATATATATATACATACATCTAGGTTTTTCTCCTTATTCTAAATAGCTCTTGTTCTTTTTTATTTCTTCTATTGTCCATGGGGAAGTGGAAAAGAATCTTTCCTCCGTAAGCCATGCGTGTCGTATGAGGCGACTAAAATGCCGGGAGCAATGGGCTAGTAACCCCTTCTCCTGTATACATTTACTAAAAAAAAGAGAAGAATCAGGGAAATTGTGTACACTATAATATTACTGGGGGTAACTAGAAAATTGTTCCTTTCGTATGCCTTCACTCAGGGCGTCATTTCTTCTAAAAATGGTGTTACATGAGAATGGGAGTGTTTCTCTTTATTTATTCTACTGTATCAACGTGCACACAACTTGTACACAATGTTAAGTGTTTGTATTATGGTATAATACAAACGTGTATGAATGAAAACCGGACGTGTTCACCTGGTTTGTTTACATTATGTGTGGGTGGGATAGGGAGGGCTGCTCCTACAGACTACCCATACTTCCCAAACCTGACTTCTTAAAATAAAGCTCACCTCTCACCCTACATTAAGACTACAAATATATTAAGGTAATTAATGAATGTACAGTGGACCCCCGGTTATCGGCCAGTTCAGTTATCAGCCAACTCGGTTATCGGCTGGTTTTTCGGTGCCCAGTTATCGGCCGTTAATTCGGTTATCGGTCATTTGGGAGGCATCCATCCGCCGGTTGGGGCTGCTTTGCGAGTCAGTTTGACTTTGTCTCTGGGCGAGTGAGGAAGTTTCTGCTCATTCATCCAAACATTTTGCTATAATCCATTGTTTTTTATGGTTATTGATCGAGTACAACTGCAAAATAAGCAACCATGGTCCCAAAGAAACATGTTACATAGTATATGAAAACATGCAATGTTTATATGCGATGTATATTTAATAATAATCACTGGTACATTAAAAGTCATATTTTATGTTAATATAGACATTTTCATTAATCCATCTATGATATTTTCTTCAAAATTATATAAGAAACATGTTACATATCATGTAGCATATAAACATAGCTTATATACATGCATTGTTTATATGTTATCGAGTGGAGAGTGGGATGGAGAGTAAACATTACGTTTTTTCTGATGCAGCGTTAGAGAAAACTGTGAGTCTGGCGACTGGTGCAGTAACCGCCCTTCATATGCATTTGTTTACAATTCTTGGCATGAATTATTCATTACTTCTTCCTTTGTTTATGATGGCATCTAAAGGTAGTTGTTAGAAACGATTAAACTTAGTGAACATGGTAATAATATGGCTGTGTAGTGTAATATAGCTGTGTAGTGTAGCCCGGTGGGGGCTACATACGTGTGCTGTACCTACATCTACTGCTACCTACACTGACTTCCTACAAATAAATACTACTCACCTCTTGCCCTACATTAAGACTACAAATATTTTAAGGTTAGTAATGAATGTACTGTAGCAGTTAATGACAGATTAAAGAGGTGTGTGCATTGTGGACTAGGGTGCAAGCTTTTGTAGAAAAACACCACCCTGACCAAGCTGAAACAAACCATATCTGCAACATGTTCAGTGACAAAACCCTGTCCCACTTCAGGGAAATCTTAGAGAGATGCCAGAAACAGACCTCTATGGACAGATTTGTTGTGAGGCAGGGGTCCATTGACTCTCAAGCTGGTCCTGGTAGCATTAAAAGACAAAGAAGGGAAGTAACCCCAGAGAAGGCTTTGCTACCTAAAGTCTTCATGGAGGGGGATTCCCCTTCCAAACACTAACTCCTCCCTCTTTCCTCTTCCCTATCTTCCAGAAGCCAGCGTTACCCTTCAGTAAAGGTATGTAAAACTTAAATAATTGTTAAAAAAAATTATGTTTTTGTGAATATTTTTGTCTGGAACAGATTAATTGTATTTTCATTAATTCTTATGGGAAATATTAATTTGGTTTTCGGCCATTTCAGTTATCAGCCAACCTTCTGGAACGGATTACAGCCGATAACCGAAGGTCCACTATACTGTATATGTATTGTATTGCTCTGGGAGCTTTAATTAAATGTAGTATATTATGTGTGGGTGGGGAGGGCTGACCTGGCTGGCTACCGTACCTCCCAAACCTGACTTCCTACAAATTAAACTCGCCTCTCACCCTACATTAAGACTACAAATATTTTAAAGTAAGTAATGGGTGTACTGTGTTTGTATTTTACTTTCATTGTTTTTAATGCCTAGTTCTATTGCTAACATAATATACCTTAGTGTAAACTTGTCATCTGGCATTTATATGCATTTAAAAGTGGAAAAAATGGCATTCTGCTTTCTGGTGATGTCTGCATTTCAGCAGTAGCCTGGAACCTAACCTGCCATATAAGTGGGGTCCTACTGTATTGAAGAATCAACTGTCTTGTGCACCTGAAAATTAGATTGGCTTTTCAGCATAAGTTTAACTTATATTATTTTTTTTCGAGTATGTGCTAATTGATCATTATTTACTCTTGCAGATAATCAACTCATCAGTTGAAGCATTGTATCCTGATATCAAAAGGAAATGTGAATTTCGTATACACATTTGGCAAATAATTTATTTGATAATTGTATGATGAGAAAGGCAGTGTGTGTGTGTGTGTGTGTGTGTGTGTGTGTGGTGTGTGTGTGTGTGTGTGTGTGTGTGTGTGTGTGGTGTGTGTGTGTGTGGTGTGTGTGTGTGTGTGTGTGTAATGTCAGTTTTAAATATTCAATTATGGTTCATTTTGGAAAAACCTGAATGTGTTTTCGGCCAAGCACCAATTTTCAGGACACTTGTTTTTATATTAACCGCTAGCAGGCTGTCTTTAGAATCTTGAACTGTCTTCTAACACTAATTTTAAATTGATACTCAGTTCATATTGTATAAAGTTATTATCTATATTAAAACAGTATCTTTGAAAAAGTATATTGTTGAGATTTATTTATTACATCTATTTTTTTGGCATCATAAAAGTTTAATATAAGCATATAACCTTCAATAAAGGTAAATTGAAAATATTGTACTTTGGACATTAAACAAAATTCATTATCATTTATAATTTTATTTTGCATGAATTGTGTGTGCTCATTTCACATGACATCTTCTGTATACAGTACAATATAATAATTTAATATTCTTTGTATATTTAGTATACATATATAGACAAAAATTTCATTATTGGGTGTGTATCGTTTTTAAATTTTTTTTTTAAACATTTAGACGGTAAGTAGACCTGAAACCTACTTCAGGATTTGTGATTTGAAAATAATGTAAATCCATATAGGTAATAATTGTGAGCACTCAGATAATTGTCTTAGTTTTTACTGAACTATAGCCTTAAATAAATAGTTCCTTTTTATTATATTTTACATTTTAAATCTCTTTGGGGAAAGTAATGTCTGTATTAAGGTCACTTTTTCAGAAGAGGATGTTCTAATATATCTCATAAAAAATTAAGAATGAAGAATTTTCCCATGAACTGTAGAGGAATGTTCATTCAGGTTATAATTGTAAGTGATCCAAAGGTGTGAATATTCTGGTGAAATCACGTTGAAGTTCATCGAGTAGACAATTTACAAAATTTACCTTTGTAAGACATGCAGGCTCGTGCTGAAGAGCAGCCGTACACATGCTCAGTGTGTCAGAAATGTTTCAAAGTAAGATCAGCTTTGATATGTCATACCAGAGTTCATACAGGAAAGAAGCTTTATCAGTGTTCAGTGTGTCATAAAGAATTTAATCAAAAATCATATTTAGTAAATCATAAAAGAATTCATACAGGAGAGAAACCATATCAGTGCTCAGAGTGTTTAAGAAGCTTTTCACAAACTTCAATTCTGATTAAACACATGAGAGTTCATACAGGAGAGAAACCTTACCAGTGTTCGGAGTGTCTTAGGGAATTTGCTCATAAAGCTAATCTTGTAAAACATAGAAGAGTTCACACAGGAGAAAAACCCTATCAGTGTTCAATATGTCTAAAATACTTTAAAGATAGCTCAGATATGGTAAAACATAAGAGAGTTCACACAGGAGAGAAACCCTATAAGTGTTCACTATGCCTAAAGGTTTTCTCTAGGACATCATATTTAATACAACATACGAGAACACATACTGGAGAAAAACCATTTCAGTGCTCAGAATGTTTAAAAGATTTTTCAAGAAAATCCTCATTGTTACAACACAAAACAACTCATACAGGAGAGAAACCATTTCAGTGTTCAGTGTGTCTTCAGAGCTTTGCCAAAAAAAGAACTTTATCACAGCATATGAGAGTTCATGCAGAAAAAAAGCCCTTTGAATGCCCAGAGTGCTTAAAAGACTTTAAAGAAAATTCAGCACTAACAAGACATATGAGCGTCCATACAGGAGAAAGGCCACACAAGTGCCCAGAATGTACAAGACACTTTTCTCAAAAATCTAATTTAGTTAAACATATGAAAGTTCATACAGGAGTAAAGCCATACAAGTGTTCAGTATGTTTAAAAAACTTCTCAAGTAAATCGTCTTTAATACAACACATGAGAGCTCATACGGGAGAGAAACCGTATCAGTGTTCAGAGTGCTCGAAAGATTTTTCAAGAAAAATAACTCTGATAGAACACATGAGAGTTCATACTGGAGAGAGACCTTACAGGTGTTTAGTTTGTCAGAGAGACTTATCAAGTAATTCATCTCTGATACAACACATGAGAGCTCATACAGGAGAGAAACCATACCAGTGTTCAGTGTGTCAAAGAAACTTTTCACGAAAAGCATCTGCAGTAAAACATATGAGAGCGCATAGAAGTGAGTAACTACAGTGGTACCCCGAGTTTCAGCCATAATTCGTTCCAGAAGGCTGTTTGAGTGCCGTTACCGAACGAATTTTTTCCCGTAAGGAATAATGTAAATTAGATTAGTAAGTTTCAGACTCCCAAAAACACACTTACAATAATACACTTACACAATTGTTCGAGTTGGGAGCTGTACGAAACTCGAGGTACCACTGTATATCTCTTTACACAGTCTATAAAACAAACTTTAGGTAAATTATGCAAACTTATGATATAAGACAATTATACAACAAAGAAACTACATAATCAGTGTATTGAATACTTTTTCCATTATCAGAACAAAACTTATTATTTATTTTTCATACAAAGGCTTCACTTCTAATAAGACTAGCAAAAAAAAAAAAAACACCAGCAGAATTAATAGCTGTGGTAACAAATATTGTGATAGTAGTAGCAGCATTGGTAAAATAATTGTCATGACAGTAGTAGTATGTATATATTGGCAATAGTAGTAGTACATATAAACATTCCTATGACTCTTTATGAATGCCATTCTAGTGACTGCCTGATCAGCCAGACTATTGCTGCTCATAGCCTGATGTCACAGTCAGGTTGACAAAACTTGCCCAATTTTCTCTTTGACTTCTATCAGTGGTCTTATACTATTTGTTGAACATTATTTAAAAATTATAATTATTTCACCAGAATATGTGTACATGGAAGTTACTAATGATGAATTTGCAGTGTAGTTCCAGTTATGTAAATATGTTATCTTGTATATTTGAAAAAAAAAAGCCCTTTTATTATGAGCCTTTTAGGCAGACTAATTCTAGACCTTGCAAACTACTGAATTCTAGTCATAGCATGTGAGTTTAGATTATATTTCATAAATCACCATGAATATTTTATGAATGTTATAAGTACTCAGGAAATATTTAAACTGGTAGTCTTCCAGAATTAGTCTTCTCCCGGTATTCCTATACTCGGTGACTACCTGGAGGTCATTCTGAGGATCAGTACCCCCACTGCCTAGTCTTGATCAGGCTTCCCAGTGGATCAGGGCCTAATCAACCAGGTTGTTACTGCTGGCTGCACACAATCTAGTGTATGAACCACAGCTCAGATGATCGGGCACTGACTTTATGTATCTGTGTGATGGTGAAGATAAATATTAAAATATAATTGTTCTAACCAGTAACAGTCATTAAAGCAAATGTGATGCTTGTCAGAATTTTATTTAACCCTTTCATTGTCATGATTCCCCAAGTTAAAAGTGCCAACAGTGTCACGATTTAAAAAAATCTTCACAAGTTGAGAACTTTTTTTAAGGAGATAATTACTCAAAAATGCAAAATTTGATGGAAAACTCATTGAATTATGCAAGTGCAAAGTTGGCAGTCTGGAGTTTACCTAGAGAGGGTTTCAGGGGTCAATGCCCCCGTGGCTTGGTCTGAGACCAGGCCTCATGGTGGATCAGGGTCTAATCAACCAGGCTGTTACTGCTGGCCGCACGTAAGCTGACGTACGAACCACAGCCCGGTTGGTCAGGTACTGGCTTTAGGTGCCTGTCCAGTGCCTTCTTAAAGACAAACAGGGGTCTGTTGGTAATCCCCCTTATGTAGGCTGGGAGGCAGTTGAGCAGTCTTGGGCCCCGGACACTTACTGTGTTGTCTCTCAATGTACTCGTGGTTCCCCTGCTTTTCATTGGGGGAATGTTGCATCTCCTGTCAAGTTTTTTGCTTTCATAGGGAGTGATTTTCGTGTGCAGGTTTGGTACCAATCCCTCCAGGACCTTCCAAGTGTATATTATGTATCTCTCTCGCCTGCATTCCAGAGAATACAGATCAAGGACCTTAACCATTCCCAGTAATTTAGGTGCCTTATCATACTTGTGTGCTGTGAAAGTTCTTTGTACGCTCTCCAGGTCTGCAATGTCACCAGCCTTGAAGGGGGCTGTTAGCGTACAGCAGTATTCCAGCATAGAATGAACACTCAGTTTGAAGAGTGTCATCATGGGCTTGGCATCCCTAGTTTTGAAGGTTCTCATTATCCATCCTATCATTTTCCTAGCCAATGAGGTAGATACATTGTTGTGGTCTTTGAAGGTGAAATATTCTGATATTATCACTCCCAGGTCTTTCACATTTCTTTTTTGCTCTTTTGTATGGTTAGAATTTGTCGTATACCCTGTTACATTTTTAATTTCCTCAAGTTTTCCATATCTGAGTAGTTGAAATTTCTCCTCGTTGAACTTCGTGTTATTTTGAGTGGCTCATTTGAATATTTGGTTGATGTCCGCTTGGAATCTTGCAGTGTCTCCTAGTGGAGGTCACTGCCATGGCAATCCAGGTGTCATCCGCAAAGGAAGACATGAAGCAATGGCTTACATCTCTATGTCAGAAATGAGGATGAATAGAATGGGAGCGAGTACTGTGCCTTGTGGAACAGAGCTTTTCACCATGGCTGTCTGGGACTTTACTCTGTTTACTATTACTTTTTGTGTTCTATTTTTCAGGAAGTTATAGATCCATCTACCAACTTTTCCTGTTATTCCTTTATCACGCATTTTGTGCGTTATTACACTGTGGTCACACATGTCGAAAGCTTTTGCAAAGTCTGTGTATACTACATCTGTATTTTGTTTATCCTCAGCAGCATCCAGGACCTTGTCATAGTGGTCCAGCAGCTGGGACAAGCAGGAGCGACCTGCTCTAAACCCGTGTTGCCCTGGGTTGTGTAACTGATGGGTATCTAGGTGGTTGGCAATCTTGCTTCTTAGAACCCCCTCAAAGATTTTTATGGTACGGGATGTTAGTGCTATTGGTCTGTAGTTCTTTGCAATTCCTTTACTGCCACCTTTGTGGAGTGGGGCTATGTCTGTTGTTTTTTGTGTGTGAGATGACCTCTGTGTCCATGCTCCCTCTCCATAGAATGCTGAAGGCACATGATAGGGACTTCTTGCAATTCTTGATGAACACGAGTTCCATGAGTCTGGGCCTGGGGCAGAGTGCATGGGCATGTCATTTATTGCCTTTTCAAAGTCTTGTGGAGTTAGGATAATATCTGAGATTTTTGAGATGACCAAATTTTGGTCTGGGCAGCGGCTCGCTGAACATTGAGTCATATTGGGACTTTAGTATTTCACTCATTTTTTGGCTGTCATCTGTGTATGTCCCATCCCACCTAAGCAGGGGCCCAATACTGGATGTTTTTTTCTTGGATTTGGTATAAGAGAAGAAGTATTTTGGGATTTTTTCAATTTCCTTTATGGCTTTTAGTTCTTCCTGAGATTCTTATCTCCTGTAAGATTCCATCAGCTTAAGTTTGATATTTGTAATTTCATTGACCAGTGCATCCCTATGTATTTCAGATATAATGCCCCCCTCAACAGCTCTGTAATTCTTCGCCTTCGTCTGTATAGGGAACGTCTCTCTCTAGTTTACATCTTCTCTTTCTTTTTCTTAATGGAATGTGTCTTGAGCAGATCTCAAGAATCAAAGAGTTCATTTTTTCTAGGCAAATGTTCAGATCCGTGTTGTTTAGGATATCTTCCCTGTTTGTTTCATTTAGGGCATGGTTGACTTAATCCCATTTATGTTTTTGTTATTGAAATTAAATTTTCTGAAGAGACCTTCATGACTGATCACATTTTGCTGGTCAGGAGCCCTCTGCCTATATGCCTGTACCTTTATTAGGTTGTGATCTGAATGTATTGTCTTCGATACGGTTATATTACATATCAGATGGTCATTGTTAGTGAAGACGAGGTCAAGTCTTGTAGGCTCTAGTATTTGCTGGTTTAAGGTGAATTTGGTGCAGAAATTTAATAGTTCATGTGTGTGTAAATTTTCGTCTGAGCTGCCTCCTGGGGTGATCTCTGCTAATACAATGTTTCCTATACTCCTCCATTTTAGGTGTCTCAGGTTGAAATCTCCTAGTAGTAAGATGTTTGGGGCAGGAGTTGGGAGATATGCCAGACAGTGGTCAATTTTCAACAGCTGCTCCTGGAATTGCTGGGAAGTTGCATCTGGAGGCTTGTATACCACCACAATGACAAGATTTTGGTTTTCAGTGTTTACTGCCCAAACTTCAACTACATCATTTGAGGTGTTTAATATTTCTGAGTAAATGAGTGACTCTGTGGTGTTCAGGCCATCCCACCCCCCCTTGTTGCCTGTTTAGTCTGTCACATCAGAATAGGCTATAACCTGGGATCCATATTTTGTTGTCATAATGATCCTTTATGTGGGTCTCTGTGAATGCTGGAAACATTGCACTTGACTCCGTGAGCAGTCCCTTGATGTAAGGAATTTTGTTGTTTTTGACGGCTTTAAGACTCTATGTTTGCAGAGACAAATGGTGTTATATTGGTGGAATTTAGGGGGGTTTTATTTGCTGGCTCTAATATCAGTTGTTCTTGAGTGGAGGCCAATGTCTGTGCCTCTGCTCCAGAAGTGTTTTCAGTTGGTGTAGGATTGTTGTCATTTCTTGCCAGTTTTTTTTTTTCCTTTTGGCCCTAAAAAAAGCTCTGTTCCTGGAGGGGTTGTGGCTCTCTCCCATTTGTTTCCCATAGACTGGCTGGTCTGTGTCTTCTTGTCCCCCTTAGATGATGTGCCTGGCAGTATAATTGTAGCATTGTCTTTCATGGATTGATGAGTGACACATTTCTGGGTGAAATAAATTGCAAGAAGGGTAGTTGCACTCTCCTGTTGCCATGTGGGTGTGGCATTTTTTGGGATGGTCAAAGGTGCGTATCCCACCTGTTTTACCAGATATACCGTGCCTGCAGATACCGTTTGCTAAGATTCATTGTAGCTGTGTTCACTGCTGATGCATTTTTTTCTGTTTCCTCCCTATCTATCGCCCCTGTATGGACATCAGTGCTTCTTCCAGGTTTTGCTGGTGATGTGTCGACACTCCCTGAGGCATCACCCCCTTTTGTTCCATCTCCAGCAGTATCTCTATTTTGTACCTCCGTGAACTGAATAGCATTATCTTTACTTGTTTCATCACCAGGGCTAATGTCTCCTTTTGGTTCACTGTCCTCTGGGACAACACTAGCACCATCAGGAGCACTGTCGTCCAAGACAGCCCCATCCAAACCACCCATTTTATTTTTCCAGTTGTTATTCCGTGCTGATATGTCTTTCAAGAATGATCTTTAATTAGTGTTCTTGTCTTTTAATATAGATGTAATTTCCTCATACAGGTGTATCTCGTTTGGGCACACCCAAAAACATCTCTCTGCATTAATGTCAAGTGTGGTCACTGGTTTAAAATCCCAGCATATACCATGGGACCATTGACCACAGAGATTGCAAGCAATCCAGGCCTGTTTTTGTCCTTTACCCTTTCTGCAGACTACACAGATCTTCATGGTGGTGGTCATCTTACAACTCTTGGCAACATTCCTAGCTAGCTAATCTATAATTTATCAAAGTATTTAGTTGTCTTTAACAGTTCTTCCGATTTGGCTGGCGAGGATAGGCTTTTATATAAAAGATTTTATATGTACATACATAAATATATAGATGTATATACATATACATACACCCCTATACACATACACATACAAATACCACAAGGGCGTATAAAAACCCGTCAGCTTTTGAATCCGGTCAGAGGATACCTTGTTTTCAATAAATCTGTATGAATCCAGTTGTTGGTTCACTTATTCCTAGGACGAATTCGGGTGAATCTGGATTAGTGGATCACTTATTTTGGACGTATCCAGTCGGTGATTTTGGACTAGCTCATGAAAAGGACTACCGGAAAAAAATGTTTAACAGTAATACGTATTCAGTTTGATGCAAAAAGTATGACTTGCATGTTGGAGAAGCCATGGCTTCTGAAGATGAAGATTACTGGAGGAATATTTGATGTTTGTTGTGTATATTGTGACTGCTGCTAACTACAGACCATACCACGGGCGGGGATAGAACCCGCAATCAGAGAGTCTCAAAACTCCAGATCGCGGGTTCTATCTCTGCCCGTGGTATGGTTTGTTTGCAATCATGTCATTACGATTTCATGAGTCCTGCTAACTACAGGTTTAGTGTATTACCACAAACTGTATACATCACTCTATCACAATAAGGACTGATTTGTTACTGGTTTTTAGCTACAGCAACATTGTAGAGGTTTCTGTATGATGTCACTAGATGGATGGTATCACTAAGTTATAGGTCAGGTGCACTGGCAGGTTTAGATTATTATTATTATTATGGAGGTAATTTTTCAAAAAAGGCAAAATTTGATGGAAAACTCATGGAATTACACAAGTGCAAAGTTGGCAGTCTGGGAACAATTTATGCAGCGGTACATTGTTCACTTTGAGTTCTCTTTTAACCCCATTCCATTGCTCAGTTTGACCATATTCCTTGATATTTTGCTAGTATATTTTCTGTTCTGTTGATTGAGTGCTAAAAAGTGTCTATTTAACTATCAGAACTACTTTCAACCTACTGGCCGTATCCCACCGAAGCAGGTTGGCCCAAAAAGAAAAAAGTTTCTCTTTTTAACTTCAGTAATGTATACAGGAAAAAGAGTTACTAGCCTCTTCCTCCCGGCATTTTAGTCACCTCTTACGACATGCATGACTTACGGAGGAAAAATTCTGTTCCACTTCCCCATGGAGATAAGAGGAAATAAACAAGAACTAGAAAAAAAAAATAGAAAAAAACCCAGAGGGGTATGTACATGCACATACAGTATGACCTAGGTGTAAGTAGAAGTAGCAAGGCATACCTGAAATCATGCATGTTTGAGTCAGAAAAAAAGACATCAGCAATCCTACCATTAGGTTAAACAATTACAGGTTTCCATTTTATGCCTCTTCAAGGGGGGCTCCTTGGCACGGTAAGAGGCTCTTGGTCTGAGGAATTAGACCTTTTGGTCTCCTTCCTCAGACATAACCTAATTACCCCCCAATCCCCCTCTCCCCATTCCCCCTTTTCCCTTCCCCCCCTTCCAACCCTCCCTTTTTTCCCATCCCGTTTGTAGTATTTGGGGTCCTCCCCTCTGTCATTATGGTTTCTAGGTAGGGGGAAGAGTGCTGGGGTTCATCCCATTCCATGGGGTCCCTTGGGAGTAGTGTAGTTTGCTGTGGAATCTGGATCATCTGGAAGTGCCCTGCTCTCTTCCTGGATTTCTGAGAGGTACAGTAGGGTGTCCTGCAGGTGATGAGTGTGTCTCCGGAGGCTGCCTGTCAGTTCTGGGAGGTGGCAGCCAAAGGAGGTATGCTTTGTGGTGGGTGTCCAACTGCCCTCTCTTTTGTCTGCTTAGGTGGCTCAGTGGATGTGAGGTTGCTATCCCGGAGCGCTGGTTTACTGGTGTGAAGGGTAGCGTATGACACGGGTTCCATGCTGCATCTGCGTTGCTAGCGATCTCGAGGTCCTCTTGGATAAAAGGAGGAACTTTTGGCCCTTCCATGCCTTCTAGTAACTGTCCCTCTCTTTTGTTCCTCTCTTTCCTTCTTTTTTTTTTTTTCAAAATAATAAAAAGAAGTGCCACCATCATGGTGTCATCTGCAAAGGAAGACAAAATGCTGTGGCTTACATCCCTTTCTATTTATTTATTTATTTATTTATTTATTTGAACATACATACAGAGGTACAAAAAAATACAGGTAAGAGCAGCATGCCAAAGCCACTTGTATGCATAGCATTATGGGCAGGCTTAAAATTAACGTAAGATTAACTAAGCAATGATGTAATCAGTGATAAAACATTATTGTAAACAGATAACAATAAAGCACAAATGAGTATTACAAAGACAGGTCATATGGTTGCTTACATTGCTGTACATTCAGTAGAATGGAGTATTCCGTTAGGTAGTGTATTTAAATAATAACAGTGTTAGATTGGGTCTTAGGTTTAACATTTATGTGATATAATTGTGAGAAACATTTAAGGTATACAATTTATAAGGTTCAGTTATTCAGTATTTATTTGGTTTTGGGTAAGTGATCTTTGAGAAGAGACTTGAATTTATAAACAGGTAGTGTTTCTTTTATATTTACAGGTAATGAATTCCAGATTTTAGGGCCTTTTATGTGCATTGAGTTTTTGCATAGTGTGAGATGGACACGAGGAACATCAAAGAGTGATCTGTGCCTTGTGTTATGGTCATGTGTTCTGTTGAGGTTGGCAAGGAGATGTTTGAGGGGAGGGTTAATATCAGAGTTAAGTGTTCTATGTATGTAATAGGTGCAGTAATAAGTATGGATGTTTTGTATGGTGAATAAGTTTAGTGTTTTGAATATTGGTGGAGTGTGCTGCCTGTAGTGGGAATTTGTTATCATTCTGAATACAGCCTTTTGTTGGGTAATTAGTGGTCTGAGATGGTTAATTGTTGTTGAGCCCCATGCACAAATTCCATAGGTGAGATAGGGGTAAATAAGAGTAATATAGGGCCAGTATAATGTGCCTTTTACACTTCAGGAACTGGAGGCAACACTCAGCTTGCCGATCATCGGCAGCTGGGCCTGACGACATTCATATTCGGATGTTACAACATTTAAATCAGTCAGCCCTTGCAGTCCTCTTACACCTCTTCAATCTTATTTGGTCACAAGGAGTTCTTCCCCAGCTGTGGAAATCTGCCATTGTTCTTCCTTTCCGCAAACCGGGTACTACGGGACATGATGCCTCCCACTATCGTCCCATTGCTCTTACCAGTGCAGTTTGCAAAGTGATGGAACGTCTGGTAAATCGACGTTTAATGTGGTATTTAGAGATGCACAACAGTCTCTCCACTTGTCAATATGGCTTTCCTAAGGGCCGTTCTACCATAGACCCCTTACTACACTTGGATACATATGTTCATAATGCCTTTGCAAATAACCACTCGGTTATTACCATATTTTTTGACCTTGAGAAGGCATATGCCACTACTTGGAGTTATAATATTTTGGCCAAAGCCCACTCCTTAGGCCTCCGAGGCAATCTACCATCCTTCCTTAAGAACTTTTTAACTGACAGACATTTCCGTGTTCAGGTTAATAATGTGCTCTCCCTGGGCTTTGTCCAAGCTGAAGGTGTCCACCAGGGATGTGTTCTGAGCACAACACTTTTTCTCCTTGCTGTAAATGATCTGGCCTCTGTTCTTCCATCCAATATTTGGTCATCACTCTATGTTGATGACTTTGCCATTGCCTGTGCAGGTGCTGACTGTCACCTCATTACAGTTTCTCTCCAGCATGTGGTTGACCCTGTTTCCAATTGGGCTACCACACATGGGTTTAAATTTTCCAGTACCAAAACTCATCAAATTACTTTCACTAGATGCTCTGTCATCTCCGATCATCCTTTGCACCTCTCTGGCTCCCGTATCCCTGAACATGGTACAGTCAGGTTTCTAGGCCTTCTCTTTGACCGTATGTTATCCTGGAAACCTCACATTACCTCTCTGAAGGCAACCTGTCACAGCCGGCTGAACCTTCTTAAAACCCTTGCTCATCTTTCATGGGGAGCTGATCGTCGAAATCTCCTTCACCTACATTCAGCCCTCATTTTGTCGAAACTCGATTATGGTGACCAGATCTATTCAGCGGCCTCTCCCGCTACTCTCTCCAGCCTTAACCCCATCCATCACCAAGGATTTCGTTTATGCCTTGGTGCTTTTCGCTCTTGCCCTGTTGAGAGCCTCTATACAGAAGTGAATGTTCCATCCTTGTCCAATCGCCATGATGCCCATTGCCTTCGTTACTATGTATGCTCTCATGATCTCCGCAATCCTTCCATTTATAGAATGGTCACCAATATTAGTAGACATTCTTTATTTGTTCGCCGTCCCTGTTTGCTCCATCCCTTCTCTCTTCGTCTACATTCGCTCTTGTCTTCCCTTCAATTACGACCTTTCTATGTTCATGTAGCATCTCACTCATGTAGCATCTCCAGTTGTTCGAATCTGTTCTTTCTCACTCCCTTGCATGAAAGCCCAACTGCCTATGGTAGCTTCCCACTCTCTTTTTCTTGACCACTTCCACTCTCATTCTCATGCCATCACAGTGTACACAGATGGCTCTAAGCCTTCTGATGGCATCGGATTCGCAGCAGTGTTTCCGGACAGCGTCATGCGAGGGCATTTACTATCTTCGGCTAGCATTTTTATTGCTGAATTGTATGCCATTCTTGCAGCACTTATCCGTATTTCATCTATGCCTGTGTCATCATTTGTAGTTGTCTCATACTCCCTTAGTGCTCTACAGGCTATACAAAAATTTGATACACCTCACCCCCTAGTTCTCCGTATCCAACTTTGGCTACGCCGCATCTCTACCAATCATAAAGATATTGTGTTTTGTTGGGTCCCTGGTCATTTTGACGTACAGGGCAATGAACAGGCAGACACTGCTGCGTGGTCAGCAGTACATGACCTACCAGATTTATATAGAGGTGTTCCATTTATGGACTATTTTGCTGTAATAGCTACCCACCTTCACACCCATTGGCAACAACGTTGGTCTAATCTGCTTGGTAACAAACTTCAGTCTATTAAACCGAGTATAGGTAACTGGTCGTCTTGTCATCAGTGTCGAGGTTGGGAGACTACTCTCTCCCGTCTTTGCATTGGCCACACTCGTCTTACTCATGGGTATCCCATGGAAAGGCGCCCTGTTCCTCTCTGTGAGAAGTGTCAGGTTCCAGTATCGGTTAGCCACATTCTGTTAGACTGCTCTCTCTATCAACGAGCATGCAGAATTTACCTCCGTCGTCATCTCCTCTCTCCTACTCTTTCTTTACCTTCCCTTCTTGCTGATGGACCCTCCTTTAAGCCTGACTCTCTCATTGACTTCCCCTCAAGGAAGGTTCCTTGATGTTGGTGAGGGGCTCTTGATTTAGGGAATTGGATCTGTGCTCCAGTTCCCCGAATTAAGCCTGAATGCCTTCCACATCCCCCCCCTAGGCGCTGTATAATCCGCCGGGTTTAGCGCTTCCCCTTTGATTATAATAATAATAATA